CGCAACTTGCCATCGCTCGTATACGCCATTAGGCGCGCAAATCGGAATGGCGAGTAATCTCTTTGCGCAATCTCTAATTCTATTAGGAGTCTAGCGTTGAGAAATTAATTTCTTCTTTTTTTCGCGTGTCAAAAAGGATAATTTTCTTTTACACGAAGCGCGTCGCACCGCCAGAAATAGTCAACGACGTTGGCGCGCATAAAAGTGTACAGAATTAACGGTGATTAATTCGCGCGATAATATCCGTATCACCGTTTATCGCCGAGCGCCAAATCAGTCACTTCCCGGAAACTCCGCGATTTTTGCGATCGGAATGCTTCTTGGGAAATCACGGGCGAATGTGACGAGTAGCGAAACGGGGAAAGTTTTGATCGCATCAATCGCGGTCCGAGGTAAGATTAGAGCGATCCCGAGTTTAAAGACCCCGGGAGTTGGCGCGCTATTAATTTCGTTCCAACGAGACGACAACGAGTCCCAGATTCGGATGTGGGCTGCAGCCGTGAGCCTCTCCGGCTGAAGATAATGACCTTCCGGCGCGGCGAGTCGAGAACATTCGTGAGGCAGGTTTTAATTTTCAAGGGGCCGCCCGGCCGTCCTCCGTCCTCCTCTCGCGCTCTCTCCCTCTTTCTCCGGCTACCCTGCCCGAGCAGACAGCAGCTGTGCACGCCGACCGGGCGTTTCATTCGATTTGGCACGTGCCACGGGGCTGCCGCCGCCGCCGCCGCCGTCGTCGCCGCTGCCGCCTTCGTTGCTCACCGTTATTGCTGCCTAAGCGGCCGGCGGTTCTCTTGGCAGTTCTCGGCACCTGTTTCACAGCTGATACGCGGCTGCTGCTACTTTTGCTCACTCGATACACACCGCACACAGCCCGACTGCGCGCGTCCCCTCGTGTCCTCTCCTTCGCGCCGACGGCTTTCCTTCCCCCCGTTTCACGCTACCGTTCGAGAGACTTTGTAAATGCTTCTGTATGCCATCATTTTTTTCCGTTCGTTGATTCGTCAATCGACGAGAGCTTGTTGCGACGTTAGATTGAGCGCAGAAGAACGTGTTTTAGATCAAAGAAAAATATTTTAGAATTCTGTAACTGCTGGGACATTTTGTCTGCTGGTTGATTAGATACGAAAAAAAAAATACGAGAGTAAAATGAATATATGAATGTTATAGAGAAATTCATGAGCACTCGAATTGTGGAGATTTGAGAACTGAGCATATGGATTAGTCATTGCTAGAATTTTTCCATTGCGACACAATAATAAATTAAAAATAATTGTGTCGATAATTTTCAGTTATTCTTATTTAGCGGCGACTATGAAAAATACAATACCAACGTTCGAAAGCAAACACGATGTTACGAAACTGTTAATTGCAACACGATTGTATGCATTTGCAAGTTTTTTTTTAGATAGAGTTTTTTGCGATATGCAACTTCGAATTTCTTCTTTTTTTAGCCCCGCGTATTCTTTTCTTCCGTTAGCCTGAGAAGTCGCATGAGAAGAGGTCGCATTTTTAGACGATCGCGAGATGCTTGAAACCTAAACGATGACTGGCTTTGGTAGAGAAATAAAAAGAGAGCCCCGTCTCTGTGTGTGCAGCGTGAGGGCCGGTTTCAAGCTGCACTCCCACGCTCATCGTCCATGAAACACGGGGTGCGAGGTGCAGCTACTACACGCGAGCCTCGCAGGTGTACTTAGAATATGCAGGGTCTGTCCCTGCAGCCCTATTAACGATGCCACGGTCGCCACATGGACATGGGAAAACGAGCGGGAGTAATTATTTTTACGAGAAAGCGTTTTCTAAGCAGCGAGAAATGCTGATGTAATAACAGTCCGGGTCGATTTTTCCTCAAACGATAAGATTAATCTGAGGTCTCAACCGAAAATCCCTCTCAAGCGTATGATATTGTGATATTCATAGATTTTTAAATCTATGTTATCTATTTTAAATCTATATCTATTTTAAATATAATGTTTCCTTTACTTGATAACGTCAGCATTCTTCAGCGAACGGTATCGATTTTGAAGCATTACTTATTATTTTGGTTTGTTTGGAAAATAATACATTCTGTATTATAGAATCGTCACAGATACTCGAGGTCTTTGTATACCTTGACACAAGAGATCAGGTTTAAAAAAACAGATGTCAAACACCGGGTTAAATGTCACAAAGCTGCCAACTTCAGAGCTCTGTAACGTGATCGCACTGTTATTTTTAGAATTTGTGGTGCTGAATCGCAAAATTTTCTCCGACGATCGAAAGCCAGTGGATAAAAGAATCTCTAACTCTCAGCAAATATGTAAGACTCCTTAGATGTCATGGCGTCAGAAACATCGCTGCAATTAATAGCGAAACGTGCAATGTAAAGCCGTACGCGCATAATGATATGCTTGAAATAATTCTTTTGTACATTCTTTAGCTCTTTTCTCTTTCTATTGAATTCACATAGCCCCACGCCATGCACACAACTTACACTTTTGACGATGTCAGCAGTTTAATAAAATTTGACAGATTAAGGGGATCCTAAAGTGGTCTGTTTTACTTATTTCTTTCAATTACACTATACTTTTTTTTGGCTGTGTAGAATGAAAAGTCCTTTTCTGTAAGTAAAGTACATATGCTAATACACTACGGACGGTCGATT